CATGAGGAAAGATTTGATTGGAATCTTGTAAAATTTTAATTAATAATTGATCTGCTATTTTTTTAATCGAAGTATCTTGATCAATAGATATTTTTAAATAGTCAGACCATATCTTAACTTCAATATTTATCCATGGTTTAAAATTATCTAAAGAAAATTTCATTACTTTATAAATAATTGATTCAATATCGTTTTTGATAATTTTCTTATCTCCTAAAGTATTTTCATTTTCTAACTTAAATTGAAACTTTTCTTTTATTAATAACTTTTGTTCAGAATTACAACTGATTTCTTCATAGATTTTGTTATCACTTTTTCTTATCACACAAATCCATGTCTCATTTTCTTTTAACTTATCAATTTTAGTACTACCTAAATCGTGAAAAAACTTTATAATCTCAATATCTAAACTTTTATTACCATTAAATGGTAAGATATAAACAACGATATCATTGGGATTAATGTCTTCTACAACAAAATGAATATTATTACGTTCTTCTATATTAAAAATTTCTTCAGATTTTTTATTACCTATTGCTCCATCAAAGATGATTATCTTTAATTGTTTATCATTCGATGTATTATGATAAGCATATTCTTCATTACATTTTACTGAAATATAACTATTCTGATCGTGTACTTCCAATTTTATTTCAATTTCAAATTCATTTAATAACGAAAGTTCTAATAAATTTGAATAACAATCTGAATAAAGATGATATTTTTCATCATTTTTATAATCAAATTTATTTGAAATGTTATTATAATCTAAATTTTTCAAATAATTATTCCATAAAATCCCTAAAAATTTTATATGAATATTAATAAAATACGTTCGATATTGAGAAAAGATTTTAATTGCTCTTCCATTAGCAAAATGTATTAATTTTTTAACTAAATCAACTACAAATGGATTTATACAAAGTATTTTTTTTAAATCAGATAATTCTAATTTTGTTAAAAATTCATTTAAACTATTATCAAAAATATTTTTATCAGAAATAAAATGATTTTTATTTTCATCATCAGACCAAGCTAATCTTCTAGCATAAACTTTTAAACCTCTTAAACAAATCTCATTAATACAATTATTATAATTTGTTTTTGTATCTATTATTGTATATTTACTTAATTTTGTATAACTATCATCTACATTATATAAAAGATCAGCTGATAATTTTAATTCTGGAGGTAGAATGGTATTAGTAGTTATTTCTTTTAATAAATTAAGATTTGAAAGACGTTTTTCAAATAAATCAATTAAATTTTGAAAATATTTTTTTTGATTTTGTTGATTTTCATTATTTAATAAAATTATATCTTGTAAAGTATTATAAAAAACTTTAGATTGTTTTTTATAATATTCTTCAAGATCATTCCTATAAACAATTTCTGTTTTTCCTTCTTTCTATTCAGCTACAAGTTTAAGAATATTTCTAAGACCACTTACTTTAATTGATAAACTTCCAAGACCATTAAATTCTCCATTATAACTTTCACCTTTATATTCATATTCTTTAGATATCTGTACTTTTCCATAACCTTCTTTAAGTGTTCCTTCTTCAAATATACAATGATAAATAGTTAAACCATGATCTTTTAGATGAACACCATATCCATTAGGTTTATCATCTTTCCATGAACCAGAATAATACTCTTTTCCATTATTAATACTATATGTACCTTGTCCTTCACGTAATGATTCTTCATTTATTGTACCATCATAAATTCCATCATCAATAGGTAAATGATGTTGATAAAATTTATTTTCTTTTCTTTTAATATTTGAAACTTCAGGTAAACCGATTATATCATCTATATCATCTACATCATTATTATTACATTCATCATCATCATTTTTTAATATTTCAATAGATCTTATATCATTAGGGCGATATTTTTTAATTTCAATATTTTCAGAATTTAAATTAAGATTTATTGATGAATCTTCGGCATCATGATATATTTCTTCTACAGAATACATCATTTAATTAAAACCGATATATACTATTATATATCACTAATAAAAAGCAAAACCTTTTTTTATAGAAAAAAGAATATTTGAATATAAATCGAAAAGTCTTACCTTTGATTTTGCAATAAAATATAATATGTAATAATTATAGCTTAATAAAGAAATTACATTTACTAATGAAATTTCGAAATGTCTAAACAATCGATAAATAATATCGTTACTATTTGTTTCATTTTTTTATGATTGGTTCTGCCAATTTATATAGCAAGTGTGGGAGGAAAGAATGAATAGTACAAAGAGACAAAAGAAGCAACACTATCTGCAGACACAACGTGGGAAAAAATCCGCTTATTTTCATCACTTTATGTCATATGTACGCAAGAGAGGATTAACAGTGCGAAGGAACAAAAAAACGTTGTCTTCTCGACAAACGAAGAATGCAAAAAAACTCGCCTGTTTTCATCTCTCTGTGTCGTATGTATGAAAGAGAGGACGAATCATAAAAATAACGCGAAAGTACAATGTCGTCTACAGACGAAGAATGGAAAAAACCAATGAAAAAAAAAGGTACGGAAAAAAGCTATCGCCTCTTACCAACTATTGCATAAAGTCATTGTAATAAACGACGATAATTTCGAGTACATTGATTAGGCCTCTAGCATTCAGATAGAGATATCTCAGATATATCTATTGACATATATTATCAGGTCGCATAAGCCCTGAGTGGCGCTAGTTTATCGGTATGCAACGAATTATTAGATCCCTAAGCTGTCAACCACCAATAAATAACTCATTGTTTTGAAAAATCTAAGCATCAGCTATCAAAACT